AAAAAAGAGGCCCACAACCACACCCCTTCCCGAGAACACCTCACAAAACCCCAAAATCATGAACTCGCCAACATTATTACCTTTGACACCGGACGTCACCAGGCAATCACACACCACTGCCACAAAAACACAATGCTCACCATCCTATGAAGGTACTCATTACTCACGACATCAGAATACGAGACCAACTAGGCCCTACATCCAACTCTCAACGGACATCGGTCTACTTTACACTGCTATGCAAGACTCTGAAACTCGAAAGAAGAACGGTCTCTAGACCACCGAACATGACAATATCCAATCCCAACTCCTCCCTAAAAGGACATGTAATGTTTATATTATATATATATATATATATATATATATATATATATATATATATATTAATGTTAGGTGAGATTTTTTTTTTTTTTTTTTGTGGTGGGACCCACAAGCTATTTAGATTAATGGCCTTAAGGCCACTTTGGGCTGATTTCATTTCTCTCTTCACTTTCTCATGTTAGGCTCTCTCTCTCACACTGGTTTCTTTTTTTTCTTTTTCTTTTCCACGTCAAATTAAGCTTGATCTCTCTTCTACTTTGGGAATTTGATTTTGCCACTTAAGGCAAATTTGATAAGCTTGTTGAGTCCTTCATTTTGATTGGAGCTGATTTCAATTTAGAACATCCTTGGATTTCGAAATTTAGGGCACAAAATTGGAGGTTTCGCATCTAAGTGAGGTAGGGGTTTCTAATTCCCAATTTCTTGTTCCTTTGTGAATTTTTTTCAATATTTGTTGTCAAACATGCTTAATTTGAGTTGATTGCCTTTAAAATGATGTAATTGTTATGTATGAAATCTATGATTCTGTGTATTAATTGATTTGTATGAAAAATATGTTTAAGTGTTAAATTTCCATGCCTATGGTGTTTATTAACTTGTTGGAAATTACTATAAAAAAGCATGTTAATTTGTGTAGTATAAATTCTTCATTTTCAGAATATTGGCGCATGTAATATTCATGCATAGCATTGGGCATGAAAAAGGGCAAAATGATTTGAAGTGAATGAAAAAGGGGTTTTAGGATAAAGTTTTGATTAAAGAATTTTTTTTGAAAAACCCGGTCGCCGAGGAGTTAGCCGTGACGTTAATATAACCTAGAGGGAACTAGAAAAATCACTCTAGCGTAGTTGAGCTAGCTGGCCCCAAATGACGCCGCGGAGTTACCAAAGGTCAGGGACAATAGCCAATCCTTCTCTCGTGTCGTCGAAGAGTCACTAAGGGATGGGTTATGCTAACAGTTTGAAAAGTGGAGAATGGAAATGATTTTGAAAATGGGGAGCGACATGCATGGCATAGCATTCCTTAGCATCACATTGTCCATTTTGGCCTTGTAATTTGTTATATTTATTCATGGCATAGCATGATCCCATTTTCTATATTTCTATTCATTATTTGGATTCACAGGGTCACAAGAGGTGTCTTAGGTACCACCTACTGAGTTTTATGCTCACCCTATTATTTAACATTTTTCAGGATATGGGAAAGAAGTGGCGGATGACGTTCCACCACAGGCTTAATATGGATTAGAAGATTATTTTGTTGTTTTTGTATCAAGTCTCACTATTTTTGTAAAACTTAGCATATTGTATTCTGTACGGAGACTTATGGACTCTTGTTATTGTAATTATATTCATGGGCTGTAACTTTAATATAAGTTGTCTAAATGTTATAAGACATGGACTTTTGATCTTAACCATATTTTTTTTGGAACTGTAATTATAATATTTGGATTAAATGGTATGTGGTTGTTCCACCATGAGATGAACTATGTCGAGGCATAATGAATGGATGAAAGGGATGTTGAAATATATTATTTGTATTGTGTGTTGGGACATATTAGATAAGTTTTGAAGGTCGAAGAGAGGCCATTGCATTTTTTTGCATTTAAGCAAGTTGTAATAGGACCCTTTTCAGTAGAGGTCATGCCGATTATTTATTTATTTATATAATTGGTATCATTTTAGGGTCGTTACATGACACACAAAACTCCAGGCAAAGAGTCCCGTCTATCTTGCAATCAAGCTCAACTATAATTTACACATCTCTATTAAACTAAACATTCATTACCTAACATTTGACTACAACATTACATACCTATACGACTACCAACCACACCAAGCGGCAATCACTAAACTTATCATCCTCAAGATGACTAAATAATGAATCTCCCAACGACTACATAATCATGAATCACCAGAATAATAAAACAAATTATCCTGTACTCAGGTCACAAATCCTCAAAACAAAATCTTCAATAATTAATGATCGAACTGCAAACCCTATACCAGACACTTGGTACTACCAAACACGCTTCGTCACCCAAAACAAATCATCTGAATCCACACTATCACACCGGCACAACGCGCAATATCGTGCTCTCCCTATCCCTGACAAATTGAAATAATCATTGACGTTTGACTCGACATCATGCTAAGAGGGACTGATTCAGGAGAAATGGTTTGCCATGCCATTCTAATCATCGATCCGGTCTCAACACATATGTCGTTCCTGTCCTCAGGTCCAAACCTTATACACACTCTCACGCAGTCCACAAGACAATTATGAGATTCACTCGCTATCAATCCATCATTCTACGTAACCATAACGGCTAAACAGTCACATACTTACTCTAAAAATTCCAATCATGCTTTAATCATACAACCCCAACAAGCTCGTAATAACACAGCACCAAACGTTCTAAAGCGACATCAACACTTGTCCTCAAGACACTGCTCGAATCAAACGCCTATAAAAACATCTGAGTACATGACTCACATCACATCACCTAACCATCCTCGAACTTACAGTTCACAACACATCCCTAGCCATCACCACTAGTACCATACACTAGAAACACACAATCCTTATTCAGCAACTCCTGCCTCACACACCAATAGTCAAGACCACTTTCAAAATAAGCACCACCAAAACCAAAGACCCTACCTCCCTCCGTGGGAGTGAGTCAACTCTTACAACCAAACCTTTACCAGTGAACTCTAACAGCGTAACAAACCACACATAGGTCTGTCCATCCGCGGACGCGCACAACTCCTAAATGGAGAACAAGAATTACGACAAACGACGTCCTTGTCAGGACTAAAACAAACAGAAAGGGTAACAAATCTCGCTCTCACAAGAGACTGATGACTCGCACCTGAATGCACCCGACACCTTGTCACATGCTACATACCAACTGTCCAACCATGGACACCCAATCTCACATGAGATGAACTAAACTACTTTCACACAAAGAGAAGAACCAAATGGATACCCGTACGGAACTACGAACTCAATTCTAGGTGACTTTGCCACTAATGGATCATCATACACTATCAACACAGAAACATCGCATATGATACCCCGTAACGCCCATGCTAACCAAAACCAATCAGATCTCTACCACTCATTCGTCGAGTACTAAAATACAACTTATGACACAACCATCAGATAAGAGCATTAATGCTCACAACAGACCAACACTAGAAACGATCACAACCCATTAGACACTGCATCTCGTCATTCCCAAATGACAACCCCAATGCCATAAAATGACACTTTACTGCCTGTTCCATCACTATCTTCCCAGACGATACTGCCTCAATCACCGTGCCCACCCCACTCGTGACCTTAGTCACAATAACCCACTGACTCGTCAAAAGAAAAAGGTGCCTATCTGGCAACATCGTCCTCTCTGGCTCCAAAGACTAAGTCGACCACAATTGCTTTAACTGGCGCACAATCCCATCACCTACCCGACAACATCCAATAACTCATACTCTCCAATTCACCCTCTGATCATATCCCAAACCATTCTGCTCTTCAATACTAAACATAACGCCATAACGCCTCTACTACCATCATCCTCGAATGACAACTCAAACCTTTCATCTTACCAGATCACCAAGTCACCACCAAGCAATTCAACCTATGACACCATTATAACAAAAAAATAGTATTACTCTCGATACCTTCCACAACAGCCACTACTTACTACTAGAAAAGAATCTCTATACAGCAATACCATTCCGACAAATCCCAAAGGAAAAATGAGCGCAAAAACCAGAATGCTCAACATCCAAATGTCTTCTTAAACCATCTACAACACAATTAATCATTAACACTTAATCGACTACTCCAACCATTCTTCACAAGACAATCTACGTGCCTAAGTAAGATAACTTCACACCATTGGTTCAACATCATTACCTCTCCTCTTCACCATTCCTCAGAACACTCTTGATCTTGACGAAAGTCAAATGGGGCTACTGATCGGTTGGTCAATTAACATCAACCTTCGCAATAGCACGAATCATTGTAAAATAGGGCTATTGGTCGGGTAAGTCGAACCACTGGGACTGCGCTAGTCTAAGGCAACCTAAGTGTCTAGAGTCATTCTTAGGATGATGAAGGGGTGTTCATAGAGGTTTTGTTTGTTGTCACTTAAATTAGAAATTCAAAGTGCATAAAACACTAATTTGCAAGGAATTTAGGATGAAAAGATTAAGAAGAGGAGACTAGGGAAGTGAATCCGCCTCCATCCCTATACATATGCTAGATTAGACCTAAATTGGGGGAAAAGCAACATATGATGGTCAAGACTTACATAGCAACACATGGTTGCCATGTAAGTAATCAAGAGGTACATTAGTTCTCAAACAAGTATAATCTATCAAAGGATAAACATGCTTAGACTAACTAACTAAATTGTAGCTTATACACATTTACTTAAATGAGAGATTATCAAGTTCTTGACAAAATGATAAAGCACATGGATTTAGAGATTAAGCATACACCATCAAAGGATTTCCTAAGCAATGGTCTATCAAAGTCACCTATCAACATGCCATGAAACCATTTCATAACCTTACTTCCACTCTCACCATGAAAACTCAAGCAATATGATTACTCTAAGACATCATCTAAAACAAGATAATCAACTTAAAGAAATCATCCATACATGTATCAACATTCATTACAACAAATGAGGTGCTCTTGGTTATGAAAAGACCATAAAATATACATGGCAAATCCCCAAAATAGACTATCCTAGGACATGCTTACAAGGGAGGGACTTCATCACCTCCCTAGAGAAAGAGTTAGTTACCCATTGCTAAGCTAGAAGAAGGAAGAAGCTCCATCCAAGACTCCATTTTCGTGTTCCTTCCTTTGCTTGAAGAACTCCCCTCTTTGCCCTCTTCTCTCTCCTCTATCTTGCTAGAATATAGGATCCTGATAATGTGTGGTCCTCCCTCTCTCTTATCAAGCTCAAGTCAAGGCTCTCTCTCCTCCAAGGAACACCTCCAACCACTTCATAAAGAAGGAAGATGGCATTGAGGAAACCAATGTGCAAGTGGCTGAAATTGAGCCATTTCTGAGTGCAATCTGCCAGAATTTCGAGCACTCGAAGGGTGGTCTCGAGCACTCTAAATTAGTGTAATGTGCAACATGCTCTTCTTGCTCAGCACTGACCTACTTTGGTAAAATGGCTATAACTTTGTGCCCCGAACTCCGAATGACGATCTGTTTGAAGATTTGGAGAGTTGATTCAGTGCTTTAAAAACTTCATGTTTTGATGAAGACCCAATTCTCAAGTCTGGTTGGTCGAAAATGGGGAGAAAGGCAGTAATTCAGTGCTGCCAGGCAGTTCTGCGTACCTCTGTTAAGAAGATCATAACTCTTTGCTCCGAACTCCAAATGACGAACCGCTTGAAGATTTGGAAAGCTGATTCAGAGCTCTAAATCTTTTATGCTATGATCGAAGTCCAGTTCTTGAGTTTTCTAGGTCAAAAATGGCGACAAAAGTCAGGTTCTACTGCTGCCAGAAATTCAGAATTGGCACCCTTTTTGTTCAAAATTCCACAAGGCATCATTTTTGCTTCCTTTTTGCAATTTAACCTGAAAATGTACAAAAACATGCAAATGGAGATAATCTATATAAAATAATCAATTAATGGACTTTGTTAATGTAATTTAGGGCACTTGAATATACCGTATTCGGCGCTTATCAGCTACCAACTAGATTTATGGGATCACCCTCGTCCCAATCATTCCAATCATCAGTCTATCTCTTTAAATCCTTAAAAAAAAAAAAACTACCTCCTCATACCCCATACGCAACGTAAAGTTCAACTCTAGTCCACGGATTACAATTCCTAAAACACAGTTCATTTAGTAACACAGTAACTACCATCTATCACTTCATTTGCAACCACCAAACATACCAATGATTACATAATACCTACCTTATCGTCCAATCTTATACTACACAGCTAAAATTGTCCACTATACATCACCTTGAGACTCTCTCAACAACGATGACAACTTATAACTCCGCTCATCCACCGAGCCATGCAATTGACCCACCAAGAGTCGATTACCCGTAGCACACTCCCATAACTTTTCAAAATGGAAAATCCCCCATCAACCAACCGTAACCAACACACTTTCTTAGACCGCACCAGAACACCCGCAATACACATTTACAACCAATAGACTACATTCATGACTCAAACAACTTCTGTCACACCTACCACGATCGGTTCAAAAAGAACCTCCGCACCAAACCGTAACCCAAGTCACAAACACTAACCTCCTAAGGTCATACCTTTCTCCCTCGAAACCCTCACTCGCACACCTAACCTCCACGGTCACACAAACCATCCACTGATGCATGAAACTCACACACAACAAAGACACCATGCCATGAAATATGAACCCATTCTAAAGTCGTGCCCTAAGCACTGCACAAAATGTAACAAGAAAATCAGGATGACTACACACTGACTAGCTCAATCCTCGAGCTAGAAGTCAACACCTGTAGTTTGATAAGAACCAATACCCAACAACCTTGGAGCAACCGAGCTCCTCTCTTACTCAGGTCAAAACTTACACAACCCTCAACGTCGTGACAAGTACTCTACCGTACTAGCAACCACTCTAATGCTCAACCGCATAAACATATAGGAATATAGATATATACATATGCAAAATGAATAAAACCCGCAATACTATACGAAACATGCTTGCATATATCAGGCTCATTACTTGTCACATTAGTATAAAAGAAAATTGCACCAATCATGCTTACTGCTTGCCACCGTCATGTATCACATACTTTCCATCTTATCGTGTATAACATGCTTTCAAATACTTCCACATTTCATTTACATAGTTGGATCATGTATAATTATTCAATTTATTCCACATACATGGCCATGTAACACAAATGTTAGCATTTAAACACATAAATATGTTAACACTTATCAAGAAAGCATGTCTTTCAACACCGTAATACATAAGCAAGTAATAAGTAAACATGCTTCTCAAAACAATAAACACTTCATTTACATATATCGGCAATTTAAACACGTAGGCACTTAGCAAATGGACATGCCTTCAAAACTGTAAACATATAAACAAGTAACAAATAAGCATGCTTCATAAAACAGCAAGTACATAAACACCAACACATAATCAACGCAGGTCAACCTTCTACCCCTTTAGGCAAGCCACTAGCTATCGTCCTTATGTTTTCGAACCTAAAGTTCTGATACCAAATTTGTAACGACCCGAACCCGAGGGTCCGAATCGTTAACCGGGTCCTTACTCGAATCCGAGGTCAACTAAAAACATTACCGTCATTTCATATGTCAATACATAATATACGTGTCATCCCAGGGTTTATAAATAATAATAATAATAATAATAAAATGAGATCATAGTTACAAAATATGTCAAAACAGTCCACTAACCCGTCAAAACCTGTGGAGGAACGTCATCCGCCACTTCCTTCCCGTGACCTGAAAATGTTAAAATGATGGAGTGAGCATAAAGCTCAGTAGGAAGTGTCTAAGGCACACCTCTTATGACCCCGTGAATCTATATAAGGAATAGAGTAGAAGTAAATGGGATCATGCCTTAGGAAAAACAAGAAAAGTAACGATTTAATCAACAAATACATACGCAAGTCGTATAACCACCAAATATACAATGTATGCCAATGCAATGCCATGCCATGCAATGTTGCTCCCTATTTCCGAAACAATACCGTTTCAACTTCCAAACCGTTAGTGCAATCCGACCTAAAACACCTCCAAGGCGTCACGAAGGGAGGGTTGGCTAGCTTTCCCCGACTATATGGCACCTCCATGGCGTCGTTTGGGCCTAGGTAGCTCAACCACACTAGAGTCTCTCTCTAGCTCCCCTCTAGACCACACTAACACCACGGACCACTAGGTGCCTCCTAGGCGTCCGGTTTTTCACAAACACTTTCGAAACGTTTCCCCATAACAATTCCATTGGTTTTAAAAAAAATACTCTTCCCTTTTTTCTTTCCCAATGGATGCATGAATGCTTTATGTTTTATAATTTACCATAACTTTCACATCATCAAACCGTAACAACATTTCATACTAAAGAATAATTTTTTCATAAATTTATAACATGCTTTAAGTCAACAAATTTTCGACAATTACACATATAAAATAAGGACATAATCACAAAACATACTTTCCATATCCAATTAACAAATCATACACACATATATTATTTACACATAACACACATAAAGATACACATGATATATCTAGCATCATGGCAATTTCTCAAGAAAAATTTACAATCTAGCATGCTATACTTCAATTTTAGGGAATTAATTCACAAAAATCTAAGAAATTACAAATTAGAATACCCCTACCTCTTAATTGTAGAAAAGCTCCAAAATCTTGAAATTCAAACCCAAGAAATTCGAAATCCCAAGTGTTCCAAACTAAAAATTGCTCCGATCAATAAGAAGCCCACAACGAGCTCTTCAACATTGCCTAAGGTACTACTATCAATTTCTCAATGGTGTGGGAAAAATCAAGCTTTGAAAACTTGATCGAAAGAAAAAGAAAAAAGAAAAAAGAAAAAAGAAAAAGAAGGGGAAGAGAGAAGCAGCTGACTGCCGGGGAGAGAGGGAGAGAATGAGACCAAATAATGGTCTAATGGCCAACAAAAATCTTAGTGGTGAGTCCCACCACTAAGAAAATCCACCCTTTTTAATTTTTTTTTTCCACCATAATATAAATATATATATATATATATATATATATATATATATATTGCAAATATTACAGTCTCTTGCACACACAAAGAAAGATGAAGATGATGCTCAGTGCCATATATTTTAGATCTAAACTAGGACATTCATGTTTATTTGACAAATATTGCATTTTTGGTTGCAATGCAAAGACATTGTGAGAAACATGGGGTGAGAAATGATCAGAGAATATATTTATTGTCACACATCAATGGCCACAATTTGTTTATATCTAATCATATAAAGCTTCAGGTTCAGTATGTCTTATCAATTGTCATTACATGTGTTTCTTACATGGGTTTAGTACTTAAGTAGGTGCATGCTTTTAACTTTGGTTTAGTTTTCATTACTCCCTCTTTCGGCATCTCACCTGTTAAATGTGCATTTTTCTTTACTATCAATGTGTTAATAAATATTGTTTTTTTTTTCCTGGCCGGTAATTTTGAGTTCCATCAGGTCTGTATTACATAGTGATTGAATTGTAAACTGTTTGTAAACAGTAATGTGAGGCACTTTATTTTGCACAAAGTGGATGCTCTCGCGCTTGTCAGTTGAAGAGTTCAACGTTGCTCCAAACAATGATCCACTCCCATAAGCATCATGTGTAGGCAAGTCCAGCACAGGTAGTGGCCTTATTGTGACAGAATAAGTTGTTAAATAATAAACCTCAGAACAGATCGCATCATTCTCTTGCTCCATGGTGGAAAGATCATAGTTATTCACATAATTCAGAAATGTTAAATATTGCTTGGATACTCTAATCCCATCTGTTTGTTGGATCAGCGAAACCCTACACAATTTAGGTGGAGTTAACTTTTTATTTTCTTCCCCAATTAAAATCTACAGTGATGAGTGAGACTGTGACAATCCTATAATCACTGAGAGCTGTGACACTACATTTGTTTCCATTGGTTTTGTATTGAAAGTTGGAACCAAACTGGATCTGTTTGTACAGAATTGTGTGTCTGAGAAGGCTTACATTAGATCCTTCAATTCATTGCAGAATGGCCTTGGTGTCAAGTCAGTGCTTCATTTTATTCTCAATCACTACTGTTACATACACATACATATATATAGATATATAGATGTTTGTATTATTTGTGTAAAATGAGGCTTGGTGTTGTTTTGTAGGAATCAGCTTGATATAAGAGAATTGGCATGGCATTCTACTTGTGTGCAAAAAGACACAAGGGTAGCTAATACTATCTGCTTCTTTGGTTTAGTATGTGTCTGTGGAGGAAAGAACAATTGAAAAACCTTTCAGTATTTTTTACTTACTTGTTTCTTAATACTCAGCTCAAAGTAGACAAAATTAAGTTAATCGAACTCTGTGGCACATCAGAATCTGAATTTTCCAGTGTAAGAAGCACTCTAAGTTTCATTTTTGTCATCTATTGTTCTGCACTATATTTTTCTTGGCTCTCTTATCATGTTTTATTGTCAAATTTGATCTGCTGTTCTCTGCATCCATGAAGGACCCGTGTCATGATGTTTTTGGGATATCAAAGGAAAAGAAAGATCCAAGAGATGTGAAAGGGAACCGAGGTATGACTTGCTTTGGTTTTCTTTAAGCTTACAACCTTCATATGCATATTCCAGTGCTCATTTATGTGATTTAGTAATGATTATTACCTCTTTATAGTGTTTTCGGAAACTTAGACCTCGTTTTCATCAATTACACAGAATTGCTAGATGCATTGCCTGAGAAAAGAACATTTGAGGATGGTGGTTATTTGTCTAATGATGCAAAAGAGGTACTTCACAAGCACAGCATCTTTAATCTTGATTCTTATTATTTATTTGCTAAAGCACTTTTTCCATTTTTTTTTCTTTTGGCCATTTATTTTATAAAGCATTTTCTTTTTGGTGTTAGTAGATGGTATCAGACATATTTATCCGCTTATAAACAGTTCAAATTAGTGTCAGGTTTCTGGCAAGAATAGTGGGAAAAGAAAAGGAAAAAAAAATGCCAACTATATATAACATAAGTACAAAATGAGACCTTGGACAATAGGTCATTGATGGGAAGGAACTGACTGAAGTGGGGGTACTGGGGATAAATTGAAATCATGATTGATGACATGACAAGATTTTATGTGAAGTGGTTGTGTGATCATTTTGATGACCATTAACTAATCATGATTTAAGGTTGTGACAGAGAAGACTAAGGCATCATATGAAATCTCAATTGCCTGACCATGGATCATATGAAATCTCAATTGCCTGACCATGGATGGAGCAAACTACAAAGAAGAAGAATGTGTTATTTGAAACCATAAATCCATCCTCTGTAATCTAGTCATGTTAGTAATAAAAAAGAAAAATATAATACAGAAGATGGAATGGGGAAAAAAAAAAAAAACTACATTTTATATGTGAAATCTTTATAATAATCCTCATTAATAATAGCATAATTGAATGAATTAATTTGCCAAGATGAAGAAAGCAAACATATGTTATTGTTGTTGGTCACGGGCATAAATTGTTTAGAAAATAGTGATATCTGATTCAGGTCTTCTTCAGTTGAACATGTGAAAAGCTTCAGTAAACCAAACCACGTACAAATTACCAATGACACTAAGATATTGTACTACCTCCGTAGATGGCCCAATTCCTTTTTGACAAAAGTAACCAACATTTCAAATAAAGTTGAGGACAAAAGCATCTCCTTTATCGCTTCAGGGCCCTTATTCTCTTCTATGTGCATTGCCATTTGTCAACACCCATAGCTGTCAAATTGGATTATGTCCTGCTAGGATGCGGACAACTTCCCGAAATTGGATTGAATATGGTGTTAGAGTGGAGAAAGTTGCTTATGAGGATTGGAAATCCACTGTACTTTCATCTAATAGCAAAAGCAAAGCAAAAGATGGTGAAGCTCTTTCCTTCTTTCTTATCTGCACGTTACCATTGCCACAATATGTCAATGACACTATAACTGATTCTTATATCTCATTTGTTTTCTCCAGTTCCTAGTAAGCACACTAAGCAAGCTCGACTCAACTTTGCGAAGGAGGCTCCTGTTACCCAAGAAGTGGATGCTTTGTGAGGGGCATTGTTCTTCTTCTGCTATTGAGTTTTTGTTCGTTTTTTTGCTGCAAGTGCTCACAAGGAGAGGAGAAATGATGGAAGTACACCGGTTTTTCTATACTTTTGAAAAAACAAAACTTTTTGAGGGTTGATTAATTTGCTCTAATGGTGCTTTTATCAATTTCTATGTATTGGGCGGATTATGGACGTGACTTGATTATAGAAATTTGAGAGCCCTGCGTTAAGTACAGAATGCAAATTACCGTCCATACATTATATTATCTTCATTTAAATATATGGTTATAGCCTTTAAAATTAAGTGTCATTATTATGGATTGGGTTTATTTAGTTAGTAAATTTGGTTTATGAATGAATTGATGATTATAAAAATTTGATTTTTTTTTTTTTTAAAATTGCTTCATTTAAATATATTGTTATAATCTTTAAAAATAAGTGTCATTTCTCGCAGCATTTATATTTGTTGCCATATGTTTTTCATATATGGCAGTAGATACAATTGCTGCCATGTCTAATCGCAACATAGGTTATGACTACATAAAATACAAATGCTGCCATAAATGCTGTCAAGTAGTTATGGCATCATTTTTTTTTTTTTTTTTTTTACTTTTGACAACAAATAAAAATACTGGCAGAGACCATAATTGTTATAGTGAATGAAATGGTTTGTAGCTAGAAACACTCGTCTCACTGTTTTGTACCTCATGTCCTTCTCAAAGAGAATGATGGTTTGTAGCTAGAATCAGTATTCATGCATCTAAGTTAGTATGATTTTAAGGAAGTGCCTAGAACCACAAAGAGAAACCATCATTCTTGTAATGTTTATGATTTTTGTCATTTTTTATTTTTTGGAATTTTTTTAATTTTTCGGGGTTACTATTATCTTGTCTCGTTTTACATGTCGAACAACGTGGGGTATACTGGGTGTGTTTAAGAGTTGGTTGGGGCATTTCCTTGACTTCAGAACTTTTGGAAATGCAATAATTGTCATTTGAGTATTTTTTTGTTTTTCGGGCCAAGAGGTCCTAGGTGGGACCCACTACAGGAGTTGTTGAGTACGGAGATTATTTCTCAGGTTCATTACATGTAACGACCCAAAAATAAAAAATTAAAAAAAATAAAAAATAAAAATAAAAATTTCGGCATGAAAAAGTCCTACTACGACATTCTGAAATACATGTAAAATGCAATGGTCTCACTTGACCATAAAACTAAACTATCATGTCCCAACGCACAATACAATAATATACAATATCCCCAAAATCAATACATACATACAAAATGTCTCGTTCCTCTATCTCCTCCAACCAAGGAATTACTTTAATTATGTTAAGTTACAGTCCATGAAATATATTTATTTACACAAATTCTACCATTACAACACTATACAAGTTACATTAATTTTTATTTATTTTTTTTTTATAAAAAGTACATGATCATGTTTCTATACAAAAGATAACAAAATAAGGATTCTAATCCAGTCTTAATTTGCGATTGGTTATCGCCCGCCACTTCTTTCCCCAAACCTAAAAAATGTTAAAACAATGAGGTGAGCATAAGCTCATAGGAGATGTCTAAAACACACCTCTTGTGACCCCGTGAATCCAAATAATGAATAGAAATAAAAGGAAACGGGATCATGCTATATCGAGGAATAATACAATACAATTTCAAGGCTAAAAATAAATAATGTCGTGCCATGAAATGCAATGCCATGCTATGTCACTCACCATTTCAGAATCACTTCCAGTCATCACTTTTCAAACCATTAACGTAACCCACTCCTCAATACCCCTTTGACGACACGAGAGAAGGATTGGCCACTGTCCCTGACCCTCGGTATGTAACGACCCAAAAAGATACCAAAATAATAATAATAATAATAATAAAGTATTAAAAAAAATTCGGCATGACCT